TATCACCCCTTCCTGCAACTCAGCACCAAATCCTGTCCTTCTTACTCTTCAGTAGCTCTCTCCCGCTCCCCACCTCCTGCGGGTGCCCTAAGTCAGACCATCATCTTTCTCTCCCAGCCCCACCACCTCATCCACCCTTCTTAGGCCCTCCATGGACAGGGCCATCTTTAACAAACATACCTCTGGCCCCTCCATTTCCCAGTAAAGGCGCCCAAGGCCTCCCAGAGCTGGTCCCTGCCTGTCTGGGCACAGCAGCCCTCCCTCCTCGCTGAATCAAGCTGGGCTTCCGGAGGCTCCAAGGGGCACCTTCGTGAACTCATCGCCCCTGCAGAGCTCAGCACGGCGCCTAGAACACCGTGGCACTAGCTGGTGTCACACTGGGCCAAGGCGACCCGTCACATTTTTCCTCCTTGCGGAGCTGGGTAACAATGCGGTGGCGGAGGAGGCCCCGCGGAAGGAGTCAGCAAGCGCCGGGGCCTAGGCAGCAGCTGGTGTCGCCATGGAAACCGCTCGCGGCGCCACAAGGGGCCTGGCCTTTTCACTTCGCCTTTTTGGCAGGCTTCCCCAGCCACCCTGAAACCCATTCACCCAGGCGAGCCGGGGCTTCGCCCCTGCCCCCACCCCACCCCTCCATCCTCTTTGGCTAGCTCCTCCTCCCCCTCCTCTTCCTCTCCTCTCGGCTCCTCCCAGTTACCCTCCCTCTGCAGCCTTTGCCAAAGCGCAGGGAGGGGAAAGCTGGGCCAAGGAAGGACTCAGATTTTCAATTCTAAGCAGATTTCCCCTCCACAGGCAGCGAGTCCTTTCATGATTTTCCCCCTATTATCATAAACGCAGGAACTTGCGTTAGGATGAATGAACAGAAACTCCTGTCTTTGTCAGAGCCTTGGCAGAAGGCCAGGCATAGAATGACCTAAAACACTCAGAACTAAATGGAGCTGGAGAGGGGGTGGGGATCCCTGGTCCGGTGAGCAATGGGGTGGGGGAGGGGTGGCCCTTAGTCTCCAATTATAATAATAGTGCTCGCCGTGTGCCAGGCACTGTGCTAAGCCCTTTGCACCGATTCCCGTTGAATCTTCGCAAAATTCCCATCTCCTTTTCATTGCCCATTTTTATCGATGATGAAACTGAGGAAAGGAGGTATTGAGGCCCAAGATCACAGAGCAAATAAATGAGCGATGGAGCCTGAACAACTCTCAAGGTCACCTTCCTGAGGGCTGGTTCATGGTTCTGCAACATGAACAGTTCCCATCACCCAGATCTTCCAAACCCTCCACCTACTCCCATCACTCCCTTCGACAAAACCTGTGGTGGACGAGTCAATTCTGACTCATAGTGACCCTATACGACACAGTAGAACTGCCCCATAGGGTTTCCAAGGAGCGACTGACTGGTGGATTCAAACTAAAGACCTTTTGATCAGGAGCCAAGCTCTTAACCACTACGCCACCAGGGCTCCTCCTTTCAACAAACCTTTCTCATTTCCATTGGTCAGTGTAATTTTGCAAATCATACTGATAAGTCTGCTCGCTGCCCCCAAATCAGATCTAGATGGAAGACCCACAGGCAGAGGGAACTGGAGATGTTGAAGACTCATCCAAGACCTGTTTGTGCTGCTTGGAGAGAGGAGGTGTTGTCCTATAAACCTTCATGTCGCATCTTTGTCTACAGTGTACAAGCTCTGACACAGAGCAAGCGCTCAGCAAATGATTATTAAACACTATGCTGAATGTTCTCGATTTCCCCTCCAGATCCACTCTTTCTACCCTTTGTGTGCCCCCAGGAGCCTGACTGCTATGGAGCTTCTGGTGGGATTCAGCCAATGGGATGCAGCAGCAAGAGATTGGCGGGCTGGAGAAGAAAGAAGCCTAGGTGCTTATTCCCTACTTACTTCCCTGCTGGACCAGGGCTTGGCAGTGGCTGCTTTCTTCTGTCAAAGGCCAAGGGTCCTATCCTGTGTCCTTGCCCACAGCTCAGCTCTACCACAGTGCTCTCAGGATTCCTATCCCTTGCGCCTTTGGCCCACCGCCTACTCTGTTGTTAGTTCTCTTTACCTGATCTACAGCATTAGATTTAGTCCTTTCATTAAACCCCCTAGATTACCCTGTTGGAGTGTGCCATCTTGTTTCCTTCCAGGACCCATACAGACATAAGTTTCTACTATCTGTCATGGCCTCTTGTAGGTGGTCAGGGATCTAGCAGTAAACAAAACAAACAAAAATCCCTGCCCTCAGAGTCCCTGGGTAGTGCAAACAGTTAAGGGCTAACCTAAAGGTTGGAGGTTCAAGTCCACCCAGGGGCACCTCAGAAGAAGGATTTGGAGAACTACTTCTGAAAAATCAGCCACTGAGGGGGAAAACATCCCTGCCCTCACAGAGCTGACGAGCTGACCTTCTAGTAGAATAAGGCAGATGATAAATAAAATATATGCTAAGTCAGGAAGTGATAAGTGCTATGAATGAATGAACAAATAAACGAACAGAAGAATCAATGAATGCAATCATTTAAAGGTCATGGGTAGACTTTACAGATGATCTAGTCTAAGCCCCACACTTTATAAATGAAGGGAAGGAGGCCCGGATAGGATGCTCAAGGTCACACGGTGAATTACTGGTAAAAGCTGGGCTGGGCTCCAGCTTCCCTGGTCTCTGCCAAGACCATGGCTGGAGGGTGCTGCTCAGCCCATGGGAGCTGAGAGTAGGGCAGTGAGAGGTGGATGCAACAGCCTTTGAAGTAACTTCTGGTTCCCATTCCTTTTTTTAAGGACAATCTTCCAGAAGCAAGGGTGGGGAGAACAACATTTACTGGAAGACTCAAGCAACTAGTCAGAAGAGTCACCCAGCAGGAGCAATGAGGGTGCCTCTGTTCTACCTTCTGGGGGCACCCTGGCTGCTGGCCGGAGCTGTGGGTTCTGTTGGCTGCCCAGGATACTGGAGCAGGGGTGCATGGGGGAAAAGCCTTGTCATCCAGGGCACTGGGGCTGCGAGGGGTGGGAACTGGGGGGCAGGCTTACACTGTGGGCCTGGTGGCTTGGGAAGGGTATTGTTCTTTTCTTGCTGACTAAGCCCCAGCCCACGTGCAGGGCTTGGCTGGGAACCTACAACTGCCCTGGCTGACCGGGTCATTGGTTTCCCAAGCCCCGCAATTCTTCCCATTCCACTGCACTCCCAATCTTGGCATGCCCCCAGTGACCTATGGGGTGGAGGAAAACAGCAATAATAATTGATTGAATCCACAATATGCCAAGCACAGTTGATGTGTTATCTCAGTTCCTGACAATCCTTGCCACTGTCCTATGAGGTGAGTTATTATCCTCATTTCACAGATGAGGAAACAAGCTCACTGGGCTTGCCCAGGGCCATAGAGCGGGAAGTGGTAGAGAGAGGATTTAAACTCAGACTTGTCTAAGGGAAAGCCTGGGTTCTTGCCTCTCAGACCCCAGTGGCTTCCTACAACCTGCCAGCCTACCTTCTCTACCGGCCCAGAACCTGGGCTGCGGGCCACACCCACCCTCCTCGCCTTTCCTACTCCCCTCCTGTGTTGTTCTGTCGCTCATGTCACCCCTTGGGCCCTGGAGTCTCTGGTCTGCAGTCAGCACAGGTTCTCTGCCATGTGGCTCTGCAGCAGGCCCTTGGCCCCTGACCAGGCTGGGGTTGCCACGGCAATGCCCTACCCTAGGACAGCCTCATGGGCCCCAAAAGCCACTGGAATGTCTCAGAAATCCCACCCTTCAGGCCAGCATCCAAACCAACTCTCCCAGACTGCCACTCACATACTGAAGCAACAGGAAAAGTCTTTCAGATCATGCCCTGATTTTCAGCTTGCAAACGGACAGCCACCACGGTAGGGCCCACCACACACTCACTCCGTTCCCTTCTCCATCCCCATCTGTCTCTCTCATTCATGCCCACTATCCTGCGGTGGGAATGAGCACAGCAGAACCTGAGCTCAAAGTTCAGTTCTTCTACTGCCCAGCTGTTTGACCTTGGACTTATCGCTTGTACCTTGGTTTCCTTCTCCTTTATAGGGATGTCCTATGGGGCAGTTCTACTCTGTCATATAGGGTTGATATGAGTCAAAATCTACATGATGGCACAAACAACAATAATAACTGTTGTACCTACATTCTTGGTTTTGCAGATTAAACAGACTTAATCAGAATCAGAGCCACCTTCTCAGAGACACCTTCCCCAACTTCGCTACTTAAAATTACAACCCCATCCCCGCTCCTGGCACTCCCATTCCCCTTCCCTGCCTTATTTTTCTCCATAGCACATATAACCAGCTAACGCACTAAATATTTTACTTATTTATTGTGGTTATCAGCTGTTTTCCCTCCACATGAAGGTAAGCTCCATAAGGATAGGGATTTTTTTACCCTGTTTCCACATCGTGTCCCCTGTGTCTGGAACAGTGTATGGCACAGTGGGACTCAATAAATATTAGCTGAATATTTGGTGGATGTGGCTGGGCCAGGGGCACAGGTATTTTCACAGGCTTCACAGGGGAGTCTGATGACTCCAGATGCATCATAGTTCTATCGTAAAGCACCTGGCCTGGTGCCTGGCACGCGGTTAGCGCTCAAGGTTACCTGCTGCTATTGTTTTATTCCTTTCCCTTTCTTCCGCTCACACCCATACCTGGGGCCTCCCCATCACGCCCGGTGGATGGCCCTGCTGGGAGCTGCAGAAAGAAGCTCAGATGAGGCAGCATCCTGACCCAGGAGCTGGCCACTCCAGCTTCTGACCCATCCCACGGGGACAACCCCTGGCTGCTAAGCCTTTCCCTCCCCTCCTCTCACCCACACGGGGAGGTGAAGTCAGGACAGAAGACTAGGGAACAGTGGCGTCAGGCCACCCTCTTGCTGCCGGGTCAGTCTGCTCTGCCCAGGGCTTCAGCAGGGAGGAGCCCCGTCACAGGGCAGGCCCAGGCTGCAGAGACAGCTCAGGGCAGAGGGCTGGGGAGGCAAGGAACCGCCCTTCCTGACTGGGGTCTCTCTACAGGCAGGCAGCCGGGTGGACACCTCCTCCACAGGGCCAGTTTCACTTTCTGTTTTCTCCACCAAAGCAGGACCGCACAGGCCCGGGGCTGCAGCACCACCTCAGGGCGATGGTGTGGAGGGTGGAGGTCGGAAAGATGGGCTTCTGGGCCTCCTGGGCATGGGGAGAAAGGGGGCCACCAGGCTTCTGTGTCCCACGTCCAGGTGAGTAAATCTCAACAGAGGGATAGTAATAGTGAGACTCCCTTTACTCTCCAGCCAGGGACACTTCCCAAAGCACAGTCAAGGCTTAATTTTACTGGATTCGCACTCGGGATTGCTTCAGGGGGATGGTTAGGACAGGTCTTGCTGAAGAGGTGAGGTTGTGCTGACACCTCTGTCAGCCGTGCAGAGATGGGGAGGGAGCAGAGATGCTGAGGAGGGAACCAGCTGGAAGCAGGGCTGGGTCCCTGGGGCAGTACCTGGTTCACCCACGTGGTCCTGGTGTAGTTTTTAATAGCACAAGAGGGGCCCATTTGGAAAGTAAGGTACCCACCATGAGGGGTTGACTTTATTCTAAGTGCAGCTGGAAGCCATTGGAGGAAATGACGTGATTGAGGTTTTGAAAAGATCTCGCTGGCTGCTCCATGAAGAATACATTACAGGGGGCAAAGTGGCGGCTGCAGCAAGCCAGGCATGCTGCGATGTGTCCTGTACTAGATTCCAGTGGGGGCATTAGAGAGTGGAGGACCTGCACTAAGGACCAAGCCCCCCCCCCCCCACGCCTCCAGGCTCAGCCCCTTGGGGTCAGACCTGGGCATTGCTCTCCATTGCCTTCTCAGAGGCCTGCCACTGTGGGGAGGGCCAGCCCCCTGCCCCCAACCCGCCTGCAGCCCCGCCCAGCCCAGCCAGAGCCCACCCGCCGCCCTGCAGGAAGCCGGCTGGCGGCGCCGGCTGCGGCGTGACCTTGGGCTGCAAAGTCAGTCGTTTGCAAAGTCAAAGCGAGTCACTTCCTCCCCCGGCCTCCCTCTAAGCGGGCAGCCCGCGGCGGCTTCCTGCCCCCTCGCCGCTGGCCCCGGGTGGCGCTGGCACGAACGCGCTTCGCATGCGAAGTGCTCGCGCCTGTGCCCGGCCGCCCCGAGGCTCATTTGTTACTCACTGCTGACTCAGCGCGTCTGGGGAAGGCTTTTCCCTTCCTGGGAAATGAGGTGGCAGGCACTTCCTTCTCTCCCTCCGGGATGTGTGTGTGGATGTCTCTGTGTGTGTGTGTGTGTGTGTGTGTAGTATATGTTGGGTATGTCTGTGTGTGTCTGTGTGTCTCCATGTCTGAGGGTGTGTTTCTGTGTGTGTGTGAGTGCTGTCGTGTGTGTCTTTGGGTCTAATTGTGTCTGTGTGTGAGTCATGGGTATGTGTCTGTGTGTCTCTTATGTGTACCTAAGTTTGTGTGTGTGTTAATGTGTGTGCCTGTCCTGTGGGTCTTTGTGTCTGTCTGCCTCTGAGCCTGTTGTGTGTGTGTATGTGTGTGTGTGCTGTTTATGTGTGTGCTAACCTAAAGGTTAGCATTCAAACCCACCCAGTGATTCCACAGTAGAAAGGCCTGGCAAAACGCTTCTGTAAAACAGCACTATGGGGCAGTTTTCCTCTGTAATGCATCGGGTCGCCATGAGCCAGAATCAACTCCATGGCAACCGGTGTGTGTGTGTCTGGGTGGGTGGGTGTCAGGTTCCCTGCCTCGCTGCAGACCCATTTCCTCCGCTCTCCCTCAGTCCCAGCATCTTCTCTCCCTCAGTCCCAGCATCCTCTCTGCAGACCTCACCTTGACTCCTGGAGGGCCCTGGGTTTCTCTGGACCACAAGCAGTTCATCTTCCTTCCCTGGTGACCCCCATGGCACCGTACCCTCGGCCTGCAGTCCCCTGAACACAGGACCTCTGGGGTTAAAAGCATAGACTTTGAAACCAATCAGCTCTAGGTTTCAACCTTGGCTCTACATTTGCCAGCTGAGTGATCCTGAATGAGGAACTTACCTTTCTGAGCCTCAGTTTCCTCACTTCTGAAACAGAGGCAATCCTGTCTCCCTAAAAGAGAGAATCCTGTGGCGGGGCCTAGCATGTAGCATGAAGCAAAGGGTGGCTGTCCTTTCTTAAAGCAATCAGCCCTGTGTCAGGCACGGGGCCAGAGTCTAATGAGCCACCACTCAAGAACAAAAGCACTGAGTGGCCTGTTTCCTTGGCTGCTGGGAAGGGAGGGGGAGCTGGTGACCTGGATTAGGAGCTGCTTGCATGACAGCTACTGCGAGGAAAGGCAGGCGGTGACCTGATTTAGTGCTGTCTTGGGCAGCCAAGGAAGGAAGTAAGTCACAGGCTGGGGGCTTCCCTTCCCCAGACCATGCGCTGCCTGACACCGCAAGCTGCCATGAGGGTCCAAGGGGAGTAGCCCAACTCCTCCCCATTTCCACCCCAGGCCAGCCCCTCCTCGTGCTGTATCCGTAGCAGAATATTCATATCCGTTTGTTCCATCTTCTTAACAACCTTATGAAGGAGACTCTTAGCATTCCCATTTTGCAGCTGGGAAAACTGAGGCTCCAAGGTCACAGGCCTGATACATGGCAGAGAGAACTCAGGCACTCCAGCTCCTAGACCAGTACTCCCCAGCTGTTCTGGATGTCTACACCACCTGCTCTCTTCCTTGGGCACACACATCATAGTGCTCCCTGCCCTCCAAGACTCCAACATACTCTGGCACCTCACCCGTCCTAGCACCAATCCCTGCAGCAAATTCTTTCCAGAGCCAGCCAAGCCTGCTCGCTTTGTTAAAGGTGGAGCTTTCTTCAGAAAAGTTCTTATTGATGTTCTCAGACTCCGCGGAGTGGAGTCTCACTCCCATTCTTTTGTGATATCTAGTAGGAAGAGTCAAAGCAGAAGAGAGCAAACCAGCTTGGGACAGGGACACAGGGCCTTCCCTCATGGACAGGGGAGCCCTGGGTGAGAAGTCCTACACTTTGGAGTTGCTGCCTGGGCTTGGCTCAGGGGTCAGAGGGCAAGGGATGGAGCCAATTAGAGGGCAAGCCAAGGATTCAGATAAATAGATATAGTGAAATAGTGGAGGCTTGGAGACCGGGAGACCCCAGTTCATGCCCCTGCTGCTAACTAGCTGTGTAGCCTTGGGCAAGTAACTACCCCTCTCTGGGCCTGAGTCTCCACATCTATGAATTAAGGGAGGTTGAACTTGGGTTCCTTCCAGCTCACACACAGTCCCAGGTGCTTCTAGACCCAGATCATAGCTAGGTCTATGCTATCATGGACCTAGACACCAGGGAGACCCCATCACCAGCAAACCACCAGCCTCTGGGTGATTCTTGAGAAAACCAGCAGACAATGGGCCCCTATAGGTGGAAGGAGCCAGCATGAGGGACCCGGGTGCCTGGAGATGGGACTTAGGAAGAGCCCAGAGTGGAAGCGGCACCAGGGAGCTTCCTTTGTTCCTCCTTTTGGCCCTTCTTGCTCCAGGAATCCAGCACTGAGCTCGAGACAGGACACCGGGTTCTCTGCCCAGCTCTGGCCTGGGTTCCTAGGGGAGGCCAGGAGTCATTTCCTCTCTCGGGCCTCCTGGAGAGAAAAGGGATGATAAGCATCTCCAGCCTTCTTGATTCCCAGGGTGATCCAAGCAAGGGGTGGGGCCGGCTGCAGAGCAGACATGCCCATTTCTGTCCAGACACAGACCGGGCGGGCAGTGGGCAGCTGCAGCTGTCCTTACATGGACTAAAGGGGCCCAGCCACTCAGTGACTCACCCACTAACCCATCCAGCGAAAACCTTGGCCCCACCCATTCCTCCTCCTGCCCCTTAACATAGCACTCCTGATTGAGACTAAGGTAGAAAAGGACATTTCCAAACACTGGGGATGACAACAGGGAAACCAACATAGAGGACCATGCATTCAGCCATCTGAGGCTGAACCGGGCTGTGGTTACCAGCACATGGGCTTCAGAGCCAGGGCCTAAAGCCAGGTCTGGCTGACTCTGCTCTTACTAGCTGTTTAACCTTAGATTAAGGAACTTAACCTCTCTGAATCTGAATCTCAGTTTTCTTGTCTGTAAATTGGGGAGAATAATACCTATATCTCAAGGTCGTTATGACAAGCGATATCACTTGTGTATCGTCTCTGTTGTTGTTGTTAGTTGCTATGGAGTCAATTCCTACTTGTGGCGACCCACGTGTGCAGAGTAGAACTGCTCTCCACAGGGATTTCTTGGCTGTAATCTTAAGGGAGCAGATCGCCAGGGCTTTTCTTCTGCAGCACCATGGGGTGGGTTCAAACCGCCAATCTTTAGGTTAGCAGTTGAACACAAACCATTTGCGCCACCCAGGAGCTTTATTATCTCTGTAACCTGCTGCCTTCCGGTCGATTATGACTCATAGTAATCCTATAGGATAGCGTAGAACTGCCCCACAGGGTTTCCAAGGAGTGGCTGGTAGATTCAAACTGCTGACCTTTTGGTTAGCAGCCATGCTCTTAACCACTGCGCCACCAGGGCTCAGTCTCTGTTCTATGTCCTAAATAAATAGCACAAGAGAGAAATTGTGCTAGTCGTTCTTAAACAATCTTACTATTAGCGCATTGAACACAGTTCGTTCACTGAGGACAGAGTTACATGTTTTATCCTTACAGGGCCCACAGGAGTTGTCCTGTCTGTTCTTTTCAATCTCTCCCCTCTTCCCAGGTTTCAAACAGTTCTGAGTCTTCTCATTTTCTTAGACAGGCACCAAGTGGAGTGGTCACTTTCTCAAAGGTATAAAGTCTGACTCCTCTCCTTTACTCATGTTCTGGCTCCAGCTCTTTATCTCTCTGCCCTTCCCCTCCACTCCTTCCTCCAGGATTCCATCTCTTTGCCTCCACCCCTCATGCAGATGATGGTCAGTCAGTAACCTTCATCTTGTTCCACTCTTAGCATGTGGCTTGGGTTTTATTATTTTAAAAGAACCTACATCTCCTCCTTCACCCTGAGTCTCATAACCCAATGCCCCCTCCCACTGCTGTGTGCCATGCCCAGGAAGAGGTAACCTCACGTACGTCAGAGTAGAACTGTGCTCCACAGGGTTTTCAATGGCTTTTTTTCGGAAGCAGATCCCCAGGCCTCTTGGTGGACTTGAACCTCCAACCTTTTGGTTAGCAGCTGAGGGTGGTAACTGTTTGCACCACCCAGGGACTCCAGATGGAAGAGAAAGATGGTGGCTTTTACCCAGATTGTCCATCTCCTGATGTTTTCATACTTCCCAAGAACTTCCATGGGACAAGTTGGTCAAAATCTTTGGATACAGTGTCCTGCTCCCCATTCTGAGAAAACACCAAGAGGCAGAGGGCAACAGAGGGAGTCAGGAAATGCAGGTTTGGCCTCTGGGAAATCTTTCCTCGGAGCCTTCCCCTCCCCGTTTCCACTATTTTGAAGAACCTTGAATGTAGCAAATGGCGGAAGGGAGAAAGGAGGCAGGACAGAAAAAAAACTAGAAAGCTTCGCTTCTGCCACCAGAGCCTGAAGCCCCACTGTGGCTTCAGTTGGCGGTTAGCCCCTGTTTGTCATTTTGCAAATCTGGTCAACCCACCTCCGGTGAAAACTCCCAGCCTCACCCCAGGGTGGAATGACTAATTACAAACACAGTTTCTCTCTTTTTCATCAGGCTTGCTTCCCCGCCCACAACACGTCTGCGCCTTTCCCAGTGCAGGCACTAGCAGAAGGCCTGGCTAGAAGGGTTGAATGAACTCTTGGCCCAGCCCCTCCTCCCCAGACTTCACCCTCTGCGGTTCCACCCTCCCTGCTCAGCGTTACTTTCCCTTTCTAGTCACTCTCACTTCTGTCAGCTTCTTACCCCGGAGCTCAGAGCCCTGGCACTTTCTCAAGTTGGGGGCCGTTGCCGAATCCCTGACTGTACCCAATTAGTCAAGTCTTGATTCAACAAGAGCCAACAAATATTTATCATTCTGTTCCAGGCTCTAGGTGTGCAATGACAGCAAGATAGGCAAGGTGCCTGCACACACGGAGCTTCTAGTTACCTGGGTAATACAGAGATGCAATAAAACCAAAAAACCAAACTCACTGCCATAGAGTCAATTCTGACTCATAGTGACCCTATAGGACAGAGCAGAACTGCCCCAAAGGGTCACTTGTTG